GCTACATGTTTGTAAGAAATGAATCCATCAAGACGTTTTTAACTTCAAACCGTTGCTTCTGGCTAAAATAGTCCTCTATCCATAATATTGCTTTCTCAGTGAAAAGGTAATCTCGTCTGAATCAGAGAAATCTGCACAGATCAAGCACCGTTTACAAGCCAAAACAGTTCTGAACAAATATGTGGGTGGATTTTGATGTGAGCGGAAAACAGGGGATGGACTTTTGTGGATTATTGTGATGTTTTTATCAGCTGTTTGGACTCTCTTTCTGATGGTACCCATTCACTGCAGAGGATGTAATGATATATTTCTCCAAATCTGTTCTACTGAAAAAACAAACAGGCTGACTTTCTTTTTTGAGTGAACTATTCCTTTAATTCAATGTCAGAATTTTAAAGGAAGGAAATTTGAGGAGCAGGAATTCCGTCGTTGCCGTGACCACCATCTTGACTCTGATTGGTGCTCTGTCATCTTTGATGTTGCAGGCGAGCCTGTACAGAGGAGGCTACAGCCGCTTCACGCCCTACTAGAGAGACTAAACCACTGATTTCGCAAACTAACATACAAAACCGCTAGACTCATTCTGCTACATGGAGTGTGATTTCAAACTAAAATGCTTCCAGGTCACCCTATGACCTCATCCCGACAACATTCTCTCAAGTGGACGTTGTGGAAATCAAAGGGAAAATCAGAAGAGCAGCTCATAAATGTGGAGTTGATGTCAGATTTTTGGACTTTTTGATTTTAGACTCTTTTTTTTTTTACGTCGGAAATGTATTTGTGTTTGTGGACAGTATTTCAAAATGTGTTTTAAAATAGGAAGAATGTGAACTATTATGTGGTCCTTTAGATGTTTGTTTTTCATTATTGATCATTTTGTTATGTATATAAGCTGCTAGTGTGAATTCAGACATGAGACAAAAATATCTCAGGACTATATTAAACTTTTCTCTTAATACAAAACCACCCCAGCAGACATTCAGATTGACTATATCTCAGCAGATATTGCCTGCATACTCTAGTCTCTGTGGTCTGAAACAGTGTGTTTGCTGTATGAATAAGCTGTTCTTGTTTAGTTGCTGGGGTTTTATTTGAAGGGTTTCTATGCATGTTGTTTCAGAGATGAGAGGACTCGTCATGTGTTCGGCCCTCTCACGTTTGCACTTTGCAGGTTTACCGCTGTACAGAGTGGACAGGTTTAATTCACACTAACTAATGCTGAATGGATGTGTGAGTGCTTGTACATTAACATATAAAAGATGAAACCATAATTTCATAAATGGAAATATTGCATAAAGTAATTTTAGAAGTTAACATGGAGACTTTCGGAGAAATATGCAGTGAGAAAGGAGGTTTTAAAAGCAAGAAGAAATAATAGTTTCATTTAAGGCAAGACACTACAGGATAAACAATGTTTTACAGTATGCCACTGTTCAATTTTAAAATGTTGGGGTATTTTGCTTCGAGAATAGTGGAAAAAAAACATCCAAAATACATATTTAAGTGTTTATTTAATTATGAGGAAAAAATTAACTTAAATGATTTTAGCAAATGGCTGCAATATAACAAAGAGTGAAAAATTTAAGGGGGTCTGAATACTTTCCGTACCCACTGTATATATATATATTTAAATCTGATTTATTAAAAGTTGTTTTTTCCCCTCTTCAGTTTTACCTACATACAACGGACTTAACCGTTTTATTCCGCTCTATATTCTGAAGGTTTTTATAGAGGAGTTTGTTCATATATCATTTGCTTGATTTTATTATTGCACTATAACTGTCACTGTGTGCCTACTGTGAAGGAACGAGGAGACAAAGGACAATCCAGAATGATCACAGACTTTATTTACATCAAGGAAATCACATGTAGGGCACGGGATCGACGTACATTCAACACCAGACAAAGAAACTTACATTTAGTCATTTAGCAGACACTTTTATCCAACGTGACTTACAAATGAGGACAATGAAAGCAGTCAAAACGGAAGCCGAGAAAAACCTGAGATCAATAAACATAATTAAACATGAGGGAAAACTGGGTCATGGAAAGCACGTGGGGGAGGAAAACACAAAACACGGAACACAGGACTGACAATAACTATATATGTCTGTAGATTTCAATTACAATACATATCTTTAAAGGCCGTTTTCACAAAAATGAATTTGTTTCTCCACTTCAGTAGCACTTAAATATACCAAATTTTAGAGTTTTATTTCTATCTATATTCTGAACGTTTTTACAGAAGGGTTTGTTCATACATCATTTGCTTGATTTTATTATTGCACATTATTTGCATCTATAGATTTCAATTACAATACATAAAAGAGATTTTTTTCTAAATGAGTTTGTTTCTCCACTTCAGCAGCACTCGCATACACCATTTTTTACAGTTTTATTCCTATCTATATTCTGAAGGTTTTTGTAGAGGAGTTTGTTCATATATCATTTGCACTGATATTACATTTTATTCCTAAAAACATGATGAAAATGTATTTTTTTTCTGGCTGTCGACGGTATTTTCTCATTTATGGAGTGATAAAAAGAGATATCAAAAATCCCTTCTGTAAAAACCTTCAACTCTAATATGTCAACAAAATCAAACTAATTTTTTTAACCTGGCTTTATCCAGTGCTCACATTTATTCTCTGAAATGTTTTCAAATTGGTGCATATTCAATTAGAAAATGCCTCATTTGTGTATTTAACAATAACATTTCTGAAAACTTGTAATACAACACAGTTTTCTTAATGTACTGTATGTATGATGATATTAGCTCAAATGTTTACTCTGTTCACCCGTAGTGTCTTGCCTTAAAAAAAATGCACTGAGACACATTGAGGCATAAAGAATCATAGGAAAGTATAAAAAAACCTAAAGAGACAGGAAAGGAGATATGAGGAGAGCAGCTGTCTCCTGACAGTTTCTTGTCTTCATCAGATGTCATGAGAAGGTCCTGCACTACCTTTTCCACTCCAGACCTTCAATCTGAATGCATGAATTAAATGTGAATCAGTTCAGACTGAATGTCTCTACCTCACTGATTCAAATGCAAAATGGATAGAGACTTTAAGTTGTGTGACATTTGTAAGAATTGAGATGAAAACTCTCAAGATCACATCCCTGAGCTCATGTCATGATGCTTTGGACTGAATTCAGCTCCCATGTGCTGTAACATGTCATTTGATTAACATAATTAGGTCTATATCCTTAAGGTGTAAGTTTAAACTTAACTTTGAGTGATGTGACTCATGCAAAATGACCTTTATGCTTTAAGTGTAGTCAAAGTTAACAATGTTTACACACAAACATATCAGCAGAATCTTTAAGGACATTTCCTTTTTTCCCAGATCTGCTGCAGATTTTTTTCGTCTCTTAAAGTCACTGGCACATTCATTTATAACTTTTCTTTTATGATCTCTAGGGACTTGGTTTGCTGTTTTGAGAGAGCTCTTGTCATTTTTCATTGTGTAAAAATTGCATCTTCAATTGCAGTTGCATCTTCTCTGAAGAGAAATTGCATCAAAGTGTAAGAGAATAGTTTACACTCCAGTATAAAACATGTTTTTGCACTGAATTGCAGTATATGTAAGTCTCCAGCCGACAGCTGCTCTCTGTTTTCCTCTCTGTATCTCCTGCGCTTTTGTTCTGCTTTGACCTGTTAATGCTTCTGCTGATGACGATGTTCAACCAGAAAGAGCCTCTGTGGATGTGAAAGATGTGATTTGTTGTTTTATTTCCACTGTGTTGACTCGCATTAATGTACAAAGAACCAGCAGATGGTAAACTATACATATGTATTTGCTTATTGTTTTAATATATTAAGTACATGAGGGAGATCTTTTAATGTGTTGCATAATTATTCTGAAGCTCATAAAGTCGACATATCAGCACAAGGATTGATATGATTATTACTCACATCTATGAAATCTTCAGGTCTCGACTCATTCAGACCAGCATGTTTACCTGCTGTTTGAGCAAAAAAAAATAAAAATAAAAGACACTTAAGAGTTGGAAAGAAAGAAAAGGACAAAAAGCAAAAAAAGTTTGTAAATACATTCCTATATACTTCATAAATATCATATAATTATCTTCCTAAGCGCTTCAATATATTTTTATGCTTGTCTGAAATGTTTTATTCTTTAAACTCTATGTAATTTATTTTCATTTGTTTTTGTCCGAGAGTTTTGTCAAAAGTACTTTGGTTTGATGTATTCAACACTGTATTTGATGTGATCTTTTTGCATAAGAAAATATTTGATGTTTGTATGTACAAGTTTGTTATAATTCATGAATATGTCTACATAAAATAAAGAGCTTACATGCGCTGAGGTCTCTTCCCTTATGTGTATATAAAGTACAGTGGCTCCAAAACGTATTTAGACACATTGCAATGAAGTTTAAGAAATGTTGTGCTTACAAAATGTGATTACATTTAAATTACAATGTTATATGATTTAAGGAATAGTTGATTCACCCTTCTGTCGTTCTTGTATTCTGTAATTTTGTATGTTTTTAACAAGATTTTTTGAAGAATCTTTACATTGTGTCATTCTGTGTCCGTCACTAAATTTTTAAGACAAAAAAACTTAAATTATTTTTATTGTTTATTATTTACTTTATTTATTTTTTTTGTATCTTTGTTTTTATTTTTTTTATTTCATTCATTCATTCATTTTGCAGTGTATGATATCTTTGTGTGAGGAACAGACAAACTTTGAAATGTCAATAATGTTCACACTCATATATAAAAACGGATGTTTTGCCATGCATGTTTGATGACATAAGGTATTGGTTGCTGTCAATAACTTATTAATTTGTGTCTGTTCCTTACATAAAGCATCATACAACTTATAAGACTTATAACATTGTGCACAAGTCATATGGGTTGACATGAGGGATTTGGGGGCTGCTGTAGATTTCATCTTGAAACTGAAATGATATCAACTGAAACCAACAAGCACCACTAAATAAATTCTTATCTGCTTTTGCTTTTTCAGTAAATACAGCAGAAGAAAAAATCTATAAGAGACAGCGAGATCTGTACTGAGCACTTCAGGAAAGCAAGGACCATCATGAGAAAAGCAAATCTAGAGAAAACCGGAGGAGAATGAAGAAAAGTGACAGCGGAGAACATAAAGGACAAGAATACAAACAGATGGAAGAGAAAGAAAACACATTCAGAAACATTTTATTTTTCTATATGTTAGCGTTCATGGATGGAGCAGAGACGGACAGTTAACTGACGCTGATATGACTGTGATATGATCCTCATGCTATGGCCCCGCCCACAGCATCATCCACCAATCAGAAGCGATATATGACAGAGGAGGAGCAAAAACAAGCCGAAGGCTTCATGACTAATGTGTTTCCTGTGGGTGGAGTCGTCGTGCGTGCTGTGATTGGTCGCTTCGCAGCACTTCCCAGAAAGGACATCACTAGCCACATGGGCTCCAGTCTCATTGGACATCCATTCACTCGCTTCTTGTGGAGACATGCCGTCAGACCACTTACAGAATTCGATTCATCCTGTGTGGGTGAAGCCACTCATTCACTTCCTGTTGCTGATGTCATAACTCAGCTGATTGGCCACACTGCTGACCAACTTCCTGTGGTGTTCCTGGTTAGGACTCTGAAACTAAAGATGTCAACTACTGATCAATGTTGTCTGGCGGTGGAGTATGAGGGTGTTGGTTCAGAGGGGGCGGAGCAAAATCTCTAGTTAAGATTTACGGTTTATATAAGATTGATTTTATGGACAGTTTACATTGATATTCATTCTTGTGCTCTTGTTTCATTAAGAATTTTATTAAAGCGCAGCGCAGAATGCCTCCTCTGCCAAGTTGCCATCAAATAAAAAAGTTGCCAACTTGCTTCTGTAAACAAAAACTCGTAATGCTTGCCCCGCCTCCGGGGTCTTTTGATTGGTCCAATATTTTGAGCAGTGCTGCGTGTAAAACTTAAAATAATTTTAACTTGACACAGCGTTAAAAACGCGGCACTCGTGCGAGATGCTGCAAAAGATGCGAGCGCAATGGTAATACACGTCCCTCTACTGCGTTTACATAGAAAAACAATGGAAAAGTCCTGCATTGGATTGAAAAAATGCATTCTGTGTGAACAGCACCTAAGACTATTTATAATGTCAACTGCCACTCGGAAGATTGAAATAATTAAGATTTTTTCATGTTTATTAAATTAGTCATGCATTTATCAAGTCTGCATTTTTCTGATCCTAAAATACAGATAATATTGATAATTGAAAACGATAATATTTGAACATTTATTACAATTTAAAAGAACTGTTTTAATAGATATATTAAAATAAATATTTCTTATTATTATCAATGTTGAAAACATTATTTGTTGTCATTCATATTTAATATTTGTTGCTTAATATTTGTTAATATTTTTCAAAATTAATAATAATCAGAAATGTTTCTTGAGCAGCAAATCATCATAATGATTTCTGAAGGATCATGTGACACTAAAGACTTTTCAGTAATGATGCTGAAAATTCAACACTGCATTACAGAAATAAATTACATTTTACAATATATTCAAATAGAAAACAGTTATTTTAAAGGGGTCATATGATGCTATTTTAAAGATCATTATTTTGTGTATTTGGTGTAACAGAATATGTTGACATGCTTTAATGTTCAAAAAACACATTATTTTTCAAATACTGTACATTATTGTAGGTCCTCTATGCCCCGCCTCTCTCAAACACTTAGTTTTCTACAAAGTCCCTCCTTCCGACAAGCGCAGTCTGCTCTGATTGGCCAGCTGAATCAGTGCATTGTGATTGGCCGAACACCACAAGCATGCATCGAAAATGTAACGCCCCTTACCATAATCACGAGCTTCAGCTCTTTATAAAGAATATCTCTTTGGATTTGAGACTTTAGTCTTTGCAACTTTACAGATCTTCTTTATGCACCAAGAGCTTGTGACACTCCAAAGAGAAAGGAAAAATTGAAATCGCATCATATGACCCCTTTAAATGGTAATAATATTTCACTTTTTTACTGTATTTTGTATCAAATAAATATTTTCTGAAAAACACTGAAAAATCTTAAAAGATTACAAACGTTTAAATGGTAATTCAATGTTGTATGCATTTTATTTACTTTTCTTTTCTTTTACTTCATTTACTTCATTTAAAAATTATTTTATTTCTTTTATTTGCATTTATTTTAATGTGTCTCAGCAAAGTAAGGGTTGTAGATTTCTGCATGAGTTTCCATGCTTACAGTATTACAGTGCCACATGTATGAAACATGAGTGGAATGAATGTCTATGTAAATCATTTTTTATATTTATGCAACAATTTATGCAACAAAAAAAAATTTACACCTAAACAGAAAGTGATGCTCCACCCGTTCGGGTCCTGTGCCGACAAAGATGTTGATCAGTGATATCCGGTCTACCAAACTCACTTGACTGAAGCGTGAGATTACAATGTTTACTCTTAAACCAGGGGACAAACGTCCAGCCAAAATGAACTGAACTGCGAATGCATCTAGTATTAAACTTGGGGAAAAAAAGAGAGAGAGAAGAAAAAGTAAACTATTATTCATTGAATTATCATAGTGCTATATGACAAATATATCCACACGTTTATCTACGCCTACATTAAATGCTTCCTTTAAACGATGTTTTACACAAACAGTGACTGTTAACCTGTTCTTTGGTAAATTTTGTCAGCTGTATGAAGTATTTCTGGGGTTTGATACACCTGCGGGTGCGAGGGAGGGGGAGGGATGGATGTAACAAACATCATTTTTATTTGGGGAAACGGCTTGAATTTTTAAAGCACATTTTCCCTTTCCACATGTTTTCAAGAATGTATTGATATACGTTTGGAGTGTAACAGTCGTTGTATTTGTACATACGTAACACATTTATTATCGGGCTGACGGGGTTGAGAGCTGGGGCAGTGTGTGTGTTTCAGAGTGTGTGTGATGTGTATCTTATTCTGTTTGAATCCATTTGATTCTGTTTTAATTTGACTACTATTGTGTTAATATTAAGCTTCTTATTTTTGCAGCTCTAAACGCCCTACAGAAACCCTTGGCATGTTTAGCGTTTAATTAAGATGTCATTTAGTCCTTTTATTCAACAGTTTTATTTGTCTAACCGAATCTTTATAGAGAAATGTCTTTATAAGTGCATCTACATTTCTGCAAAACTTAGACTTGAACTCATTGAATAAGCCGGCAGAACATTAGTAAAGACACTTTATATGCAAAGTGAAATCAGATTCATGGATTTATCCAAGAGTGGTTTTATGACTTTTATATTTGGTTTTATGACTTTTACCTAGTAAAAGAACACTTTAAGGTTTACATTTAATGATTATTAAATAGCTTACATCAGGGATTCCCAAACTATTTGTCAGCCAAACCCCTTTGAACCTTTTTATAAGTTAATAGTATAACAATAATTTAACAACACATTCACATGTTCATAGGTCTCCAGTGTTGGGTAATGGTCACATGACATGCAGGTAAACAAATCAAATATGTCATTTGTTTAGTAAGTGGTTCATTTTTTTTCTTTTTTTTTTTTTTTTTATATTTATTCATTTTAATTTGAAATTTTTAAGATTTAATTATTAGCTTTTCATTGCAGTTCCCTGATGAATTCCCCTGGGTTTTGCAAACACCAGTTTAGACCAGTAAAGAGGTTAACAGTTTAGCCATTTCATTAGCTAGTTTAGTTTTAATAAAAAAAATATATATTTTTTTATTTTTATAGTTTTTTTTTCTTTTAAATTTTAATTAAACTTTTAGTTTTTTTCAATTTTATATTGTTTATATATTGTTTATTTATTGTTTAAACGTGTATTTATTTATTTACCTATATTTATTTTTATTAACATTTTAATTTTGCCTAAATATTTTATTTTCTTTTATGTTTTACTTTCAGTTAATATATATTTTATTTTAAGTACTGAAAATGGTTTTAGTTTTAGTTGCATAACCCTAATCTGGATCACTCATCATTCATGAAGTTCTATACATCTCCATCCCATTTCTGTTTGTCTATTAAACTTTATATTATTAATAATTTTGCACATTTTACCATATTTGAATTCATTCCACAGAATTCCACAGATTCCCCTTAAAAATCAACATGAAAAATAGAGATTCGTCCGGTTCTGCTTAAACTGGTAAGCTCACATACTTTTCATGTAACATATATCATAATTCATTATTTTTACTTCGGACATCAAAGAGAACGAGAGCATCTGTCTGGTTTTACCGTGGTAAACGGTTGTTTTTCTATCTCTGCTGTGCTGTAAATATCAGTCACGTCTCCTCTACTCCTCAACCCAGCAAAATCTTGTATTTTGTTCTAAAATGTTTATTTGTAAGGATTTTTAAAAACCTATCTCTTTCTCATTTTTGTAAGCACTCAGATGGTTTAAAGGTGAAATCCTGAAAGATAAATGTGTCTCTCTGAAGCCCTCCAGATCGGTGACCGTGTCAGTTTGTGTTTTCTTTCTCTTCTATTATCGCTACAAGCCTCAGATGAGAACTCTATTTGTTATTCTGACATTAAAGTTATTATCAACATTATGACATAATATTTATTACTACCCATTGATATGAACACCATTGTTATTATTACATAAATAAACTTGTCTACTTAAGCATTTGATGGAGTTTATTTTGTCTCTATATTGTCTACAAATATAAATAATAATTTATCTTTCAATCTTTCCCAGATAATGTTTTAATAATTTATTTTATACTTTAATGTAATAATTCTGGAAACATGTCTTTATAATTCAAGACATTAATTATGCATTAAAAAAAGTCCTAAAATGAGATAAAATGATTAGTCTGTTTTGAAAATATGTAGTTATGCACATCTTTAGTCACGACTCGGTTTGACAAACCCAATACTTGTACTGTTTTATGATACAGTAGCTACTTTCCCCATCACCTGTGAAGTACTTCTAGTGTGCCGTAGGTTATAGTACTGGGATTACATGTAATCTAGAAATTACGGATTAATCAGATTCCAAAAATTAAGTCCTTGTAATTCGATTATATTACATTTTAAAATACTCTGTGTGACGTCACACAGACAGGCCCCTCCCACGATAGTTTGATTGACAGTAGTGTTTCAGCACAGACTGGACTGGCGTTTTACCTTAGCTCCACCCTGAGTGACTGTCATCAGTCCGCCATTATTTCACCGCTGGAGCAGTTATAGACAAGAATGACTCCTAAGTGATTGAGGTGTTCTGTTGTTGGATGTAATAATGAACAGCAGTCGTCATTTACTCCCGACATCTGAGCCGCTGAAGACGCAGTGGATTACGTTTGTTTTTGAAGGGAATGCGATCTGCCTAAATGCGTCTATGTTCACGTGAATCATTCGTGATCCAGCTTCAGCTGTAGAAGAAGTGAGTGTAAGGTTTTTTTTAAATTAATCGTTGCAAATCGCCTTTCCTAATAATGTGCTAATTAGCAAGTTTCACGATGAATGCGGCTAAAGTAAACAGTCTCTCTGAGAGCAGCTCGGAAGAGAGGGGCGGGGTAAGCAGAGCTCATTAACATTTAAAGGAAAATGCTACAAAAACGGCTTGATCTGAAAAGAGCTGTTTTTGACAGGGTAAAAAGGTGTTTTTTACACTACCATTGAGAGATTTGAACCAAACTATGTTACAGACTTTTCATTAAGACCCTAAAGAATCATATCAACCTGTGGAAAATGGGCATCCTATGACCCCTTTAACATTTCAACATTGCATCAACTACTGATGAACACATTAATTATCATTCAGTGGGTTATTAAACCATGTATTACTGTGTCTTTGGAAGGCTTTCAAACACATTCAAATTCCCAAATTCACGTTATTTCTTATGTCTAATGCAGGGATGCCTAAACTGCTTTTTTCTTTTTGCCAGCCGAACCTCTTTCAACTTTATTTATTTAAAGTACCACCTGGGATTTTA